GAGAGGCTTTGCAGGGGTGATGGGGGCCAGGACCCCTGTTTGTGCTGCTGGAGGGACCAGCAGCCGAGGCCCCTGCACTGGTCTGAGGCGGTGGAGGGTGGAAATGGTGCAGGAGGAGCTGGGCAGGGGCTCACGGGGGTGTCTGGGGTCCCGATGGGCTCATCCTGGGGGGCTTTTCACAGGGTCATGTCACCAGGCTGGGGAGCTGCCCTGGGAGGGGACAGGGTGCTGAGCTGGCACCGGGGTGACCAACCCCCAGGGAAGGGTCTGGGGTCCCTCCCCTCCATCTGCAACTCCCCAGCTTCCCATCCCCAGGGCAGAAGATCCCTGTCCCAGCTCGCAGCCAGGATCCCAGTGTGTCCTTGTGGATGTGGACACGAATCCATCCAGGACTGGATTACGCCCATGGGGGGCTCCCAGCCCCAAAACCCCAGGGACACCCCAATCCTGCTGCCAGCTGGCCCCAGGTGCCAAATCTGGGGTGTGATGGAAGTGCCTCGGCCCCTTGGAGTGGGATGGGCTGCAGAGGGACCCCCTAATCCAGGTGCTCCCTGACCCCTTGGGTATCTCCCAGTCCTCCCACCATCACCACCTGCTTTGGACGGGGTGACCTATGTGTCCCTCCATATGTCCCCCCACACCAGTGCCACAGGGGCTGCAGGGACAGTGCCCCAGAGTCATGGGGACAGGCACATTTTGGAGACCCCCTGCTCTGGCACGGGGCCAGTGCAGAAGGCCTGGAGCTGGGGCTGAAGAAAAGGGGGGAAGTCCCAGGGGCAGCACGTGTCCCAACTCCTGAGAGCTGTAACGGGTGGTGGGAAGGCCAGCATCGCCCCTTGGGCCCAAGCCCACCCCCAGCCCCGCTGTCCCCCTCCTCCATGGACAATCCCGCCGGGCTGTGCCGTGCCCTGCTCCCCCAGCACTGTATCTATGTACTAAGGATGTTATTTTACCGGACTCTGGACAGTATTCCCATTAAAAGCCAACCTGTGTAAATAGGAAGGGGTGCTCAGTCTCTTGGGGGCTGGGGGGACTTGCAGCCCCTCCGTAGGGTTTTCTGGATCCATTTCTTGTACCTCACGGTCGAGGTGGCGACCGGCGGCTTGAAGGGGTCGGTGACATCTGGGCCGCTGAAGGACATCACCCCGGCCACCGCCGCCCGCTCCCCGCACACCAACGGGCCCCCCGAGTCCCCCTGGGGGACGGGGGTGACACCAGAGAGTGCACCTCGACCAGAGGTGGGGACCCCCACCACGCCTGGGGCGACATCTGGCCTCTGTGCTCGGGGTGAGCTTCCCCCCCGGAGCCCCCCGCACCCGGGAGTGGTGGCTGGGGGTGGGCAGAGCTTTGTAACCCTCGGACCCCCAAACGCTCACCTTGGCGGGGGCCGAGCCCCGGGGCTGCCCCTGGAAGCAGATCATGGTGGGGGCGATGCCGCCGTCCCAGAAGCGGCTGTTGTTGCACATCCGCGGGTCCATCACCTTCACCTCCAGCTCCTGCAGGGTGGGCGAGAGCCCCCCGCGCCCGCGGAGCCCCCAGCCCGCCAGGCTGCACGTGGCCCCCGCCGCCGGCCCCCGCCCCGCCAGCCCGATCGGCCGCCGCGTCCGGCCCAGCGTCACCGTCCCCTCCAGCTGCGGGCGGGGGCAGCGTCAGAACCCCCCCATGGCCGGGGGGAGCGCAGGGAGCACCCCAACACTGCAGGGGGGGGCGCGGGGGGAGCACCCCAACGCCTGGGTGGGCGCTCCAGAGGGAGCACCCCAATGCCGTGGGTGGATGGTTGAGGGAGGGCACCCCAGTGCTGCAGGTGAGGGGCCAAGGGGGGTGCCCCAGTGCTGCAGGGGTGCGGGGGGGCTGCGGAAGAGCACCCCAACAGCACAGGTGGGTGCTTGAGGGGCAACACCGAGCAGATGCAGCGCCCACGGGAGCGGGGAGACGTTACAGAGGTGTGAAACCTCCGGGGGTGAGAAGAGGAAATGTCACCGAGCCTCTCGCCCCGGCTGCGAGCGCAGCTGCACCGACACGTGTGAACCCCCCGGCAGCGCTTCCCGCCCCCCGGCAGACCCCTCCCGAGCCCCACCTGCAGCAGGAGCAGGTCGTTTTCCATGGTCCCTCGGTCGTAGCCGGGGTGGGGACAGGCCGCCCGGATGGGGAAGGTCTGTGTGGCCGCCCCGCGGTCCCGCAGGCTGTGCAGCCCCACCACCACTCTCCCGTTGGCCAGTGTCCTGCCCCACACCAGGACCCGGTGTCAGCCCGGTGGGGTCACTGGGAGCCCCCCAAGCCCCCCGTGGCCCCGGACTCACCCCCGGGCCAGGCAGTGGGCGGCCGTCAGGACCCAGCGCCGGTGCAGCAGCGCTGCCCCGCAGGCGTGGACCCCCCCAAACTGCAGGGACACCATGTAGGGCCGGGAGTGGGGTTTGGCCTCGTGTCCCCCAATGATCGATGGCTGGAGCCAGGCCCACGCTGTGAGGAGAGGAGATCCTGTCCTGGCCCCCAACCAACACCTGCCACCACCCCGGCCAGCGATGCCAAGACCCCGCTGGGCACCCCAGACCCACCCCAGACCCACCCCAAACCCACCTCGGACCCACTGCCCCGCTGCTCACCCGAAGGCAGGGGCAGCAGCAGCAGCAGTGGCCCCAGGCAGCCCCTCGCCCCCATTCCTGCCTGCTCCGTGTCCTGGTGTGGTGTCAGAGGAGCCCCACGTCCCGTGTGACAGCGGAGCAGGGCGGCAGCAGGACACAGACCCTGCTAAGGGGGCAGGAAGGGGAAGAGGCACCCACAGGGTAACACCTGTGGGGATGGGAAACACCCACAGCCCCCTCGGTGCTCGGCTTTGCAGACAGAAAGCGGCATCTTCAGCTCTGCCAAAACAGGGGGTTTGGGAGAGTTATGACAATCCACAGCGCTGGGTGATCCGTTCCCACCACCTTCATTAGCAAAACCAGGACAGTTTTCCCGCCACCATCACCACAGGGCCACCAGTGCTGGCCCCCGGCCAACCCTCTCCGGTGGTCCCTCAGCGTGTCCCTTTGGGCGGGACCCGCCTGGCCCCTCTGCCTGGGTGGGCTCTCAGGCTGGCCAGGAGCCGCTCGAAGAAGAACTCGCTCTGGTAGTCCAGCGGGACGAGGTGCTGCAGGAACGGGGGCACCTGGGCCCTCGTCACCCCCACGCACACGGGGACCACCCTGGTCCCACAGCGGTGGATGACGCGGAGCAGGTTCCACTGGGACACGCGCTGGCACCACGGGTCGCCCACGGAGCGGGCTGAGAGGAGCAGGATGGCCACCCGGCTGGCCTCGATGACCTCCAGGGCCGTCAGGATGACGGACGTCCCGGCCACTTGGTCCTGGTGCTCCGTGAAGCCCCGGAAACCCTCCTGCCTGAGGCGCTGGGCGATGCTGGAGGCGACGGGATCGTCCTCCGGGAAGTACCAGAGGGAGAAGTCGTAGGGGAAGTTGTGGTGTGAGGGCACGGAGGACGTGCCACCCACGGGGGACGTGGCAGCCAGTGCAGGGAGCAAGTGTGGGGTCCAAGCCTTTGTTCCTGCACTGGGACCCTGCAGCTGTGCTGGGCAGCCCTTCCCGGCAGATCCCTCTGTTCCCTGGGGAAACGTCACCGGGGTGGCAGAGCCAGGCCCTGGCACGGCGGGGACGTCCCACGGCAAAATCCCTTAAACACAGCACAGACGGTTCTGCCCCGATTTGGGAAGGCGAAACCACAGCCTGGGGCGTCCCGAGGTGCCCCACCACAGTCCGGGAGGAGTCGGGGCTCCGACCCCGGCCCTCAGAGCGCCTTCTCCCTCATCTCCGCGATCCCACGCTCCAGCTCCGCTCCCGCCCGCTCCAGCTCCCGGCGCTGCTCCCGCAGCCGCTCCCGGGATTCCTGCAGCCGCTGGTTCATCCCCACGTAGGAGCGGCTCTGCCGGTACAGCCGCTCCCGCTCCTCGGCCGCGGGGTCGGGGGAGCCTGGCGGGGCACGGCGGGGGTCAGTGGGACACCGGGGGGGTTCCCCGCGCCCCCCTGCCCATCCCGGGCTCACCTGGAGCGGGGCCGTGGTCCAGGGGGGGCTCGGCGGGGAGGACGAAGACGGGGTCGGCCGGGTGGGTGCCCTGCACGTCCTCCAGGATCTGCTCCACGCTGGGGGGCTCAGGGCGGGTGGGCAGCACCCGCTTGGCCTTGGAGCTCATCACGGGCGAGGCTCATGTAGGGAGGGCTGGGGAGGGGGGGGCGGCTGGGTGAGGGGCTGCGATGCCCCCACTGGACAGACAGACCGACCCTCCTCTTCCCTATCCCTCTAAGACAGACAGACTCCTCCGAGCTGCCCTTTGGACAGACAGACGGACCCCCCTTCCGGTCCCTCCCAGTCCAGCAGGCAGAGCCCCCTCATTGCCTCCCCAGGGATGGACAGACAGAACACTCCACCTTCTCCATCCCGGGACAAACAGACAGACAGATCTCTCCTTTCCTCCCTGTCCCCCCAAGACAGACAGACCCCCCTCACTGCCCCCCTGGGGAGACACACAGACCCGCCCCCGTGGACAGACTGAGTTCCCTCCCCACCAGACCGACAGACACCCCCTCTCCCGCCCCCCCCAGTACAGGCAGAACAGAACCCCCTCACTGCCCATTTCCGACAGACAGACAGACAGACCCCCCCACGCTGTTCCCGGACACACTGACAGACCCCTCCTTGCGCCCCCTGCCCGTGTACAGACAGACAGACAGACAGACAGACAGACAGACGCCCGGACACACAGACCGGACGCTCCGCCCCCCAGGACACACAGAGCCCCCCCGATCTCGCCCCGGACGGACAGACAGACCCCCGGCACCGCGCACGGACCGACGGACCAACCCCCGCCACGTTCCGGCCGCGTCCCGCCGCACTTCCGCCACGCCCCCGGTGACGTCATCCGACCAGGCCCCGCCCTCTCCCTCCCAGGCTCCGCCCCCACTCTTAAAGGCGCCGCGCGGTGTCACAGAACACGCGGGAGCGGCGGCTCGAGGGCACCGAGGCTTTATTGGGGATAGGGAGGGCGGGACAGGCTTGGCTTGGACAGATCCAGGATCCCGGCTGAGGACGATCCAGGCTCGGGGTGCCGGTACCGGAGTCACTGGTGCCGGTACCGGGGCCGTAGTACCGGTACCGGGGTCTGTGGTGCCAGTACAGGGGATGACGGTGCCAGTACCAGGAGCGTGGTGATGGTACTGGGGCCGTGGTGACGGTACTGGGGATGCCGGTGCCGGTACCGGGAGTGCCGGTGCCGGTCCCAGTACCGGGGCCGTAGTGCCGGTACCGGGGGTGCTGATGCCCCTCTCACTTCATCTTGTTCAATTCCTCTGCCAGGCTCAGGGATGCTCTGGTTCCTGCAGACACACGGACAGCGTTAGTGCCCATCCCCGGGGCAGTGCCCGGTGTCCCTGGCCCAGCCCATCCCGGTCACCATCCCGTTCCACCCCCCTCCCGCTGAGCACAGGGGTGGCACCAGGGTCCTGCTCCCCGCCCCCGGGGGGCTCCGGATGGGAGCCACAGGTTGGCAGCGCTGCGAAGAGCACACTGACACAGGGACGGACACACGGATGGACACACGGAAGGGTCTGGCTATGGAGAAGCAGGAGGGAAGTGCCTGCTCTACCCACGCCTCGGGAGAAGGGGCCGGTTGTGCGGGAGCCACGCCTGCAGGGGCAGGGTGGTTTGGCCACTGCCACGGTGGCCACGAGCCCCAGGCCCGGCGGGCACCCGGTACAGCCCGGCCCCGTCTCCCCGCGGCGGCAGCGGGAGGAGCCGTGGCTGTTACATACGGACAGGCTGAGCTGCGGGGCCGCCCCGGCCGCCAGCCGGGCTCTGCTGCTCGCCAGAGTCTGCAGGACTGGACCAGAGGTGCGGCGCAAAGAGAACACAGAGGTTAGAGAGGGGACAGCGACACTCCTGTCACTGCTGGGGCAGCACGGAGCGTGGGCACGGAGAAACAGCGTCCTGGTGGTGGTTAAAGTGAGCTGCCCACACGGCCCTGCTCGGGGAGAAGCGCCCGGCCGGGACACGGAGCAGGACGGAGGGACCCGCGTTACCTTCTCGGGTGACGGTGGAAGCCGCGTCCAGGGCCTTGGTGCTGATGTCACTGATCACGTTGTCCACGGCCTCGTGGTGCTTGAGGAAGCAGGGCCGGATGATGCTGTGGTAGAGCACCTGTGAGCCGTTCCAGGGCACGGGGGCCATGCACCACACCAGGAACAGGCACTGCAGGGACAACAGGGGCTCAGCTGGAGGGTGGCAGGGCAGGGGCCGAGCTGCTCCAGAGCCCCCCCAGCCTGGTCCAGTGGCAGCTTCCGAGGCTGGAGCTCACTGGAGGTGTCAGGATCTGAGCTGACTGCAGCCCCACCACGGCCCCACGGGGCAGAGCCCACCACAGTCAGCCCCTCCACATTCAGCCCTTGGGCAGGACTCTCTCTCTGGCACAGCCATTACCTTCCCAGCGTAGTAGAAGGGGAACCAGTAGAGGAAGAGGTCGGAGAAGGACTCGGCGATGCAGAAGACGCCGTACACCACCCAGTACGTGAGCCACATGGTGTCATCCTCCTTGCTGCTGCTCTCGATGGCCTTGATGCTGTGACAGGAGAGGGGAAGGGCACGGCTGCTGCAGTCCTGGGGTGGGCTCCTCCTTCCCAAATCCTCCAAACCCTGGGGCAAACCCTCCCGCCCCAAGCTGGCACAGTCCCAGCCTTTCCAGGAAGGCCTCAAGAGCTTCCCAGCCGTAATTGCCTCTTCACTGAGCAGGGAGACCCTCAGCCAAGGGCAGGGAACGCTCTCCAGGTGCTGCAGGGGGTGGGACAGGTACTCACGAGACGTAGGCGGGGTAGGCGAAGCCGATGAGGTTGCAGAGCAATGAGGCGCCGTAGCCGAACATGAGGTACAGCCCCAGGAAGGCCACGGAACCTGCCGGGGGACAGGGGACGGTCACGAACCCGCCACCAGCGGGGAGAGACCCCTCCCAGGCTGCTGAGCAGGACTCTCATCCCAGGGCGGGAAGAGGCGCATTCCAGGACCCCCGAGATGGGGTAACGACCACCCCCAATTAACTCCAGCATGACAGGGCGCTGAGTCACGTGGCAGGGTCTGCTCCTCCCCGAGCGCCCCACGACCTGCTCCTGTCACTGTTTGTCCCCTCCCTGGCCCTGGAAGGGACTTTACCACAGAGCTGTCAGCACTTTCACCCTGGAGCAGCCTGGAGCAAGGCCAGGGCCGCGGCACCGCTGGAACCGGGGACACCGGCACACACTGGCACACCCCCACGGTCCAAAGTCGGCTCCCCTGGAGCCACCTGGCATTCCGATAACGCCTGTCCAAGGGCCAGCCCTGCTCCCGGGGCCGGGATCCCGCGGCTCCCCCGGGAGCAGCAATCCAACCCCGCTTCCCAGCTGTTCAATCAGAGCGGTAAATTAAGTGGAAGGCCAAGGTTTCGGTCGCCTGGAGCCTGCACAGCCCTCAAGACACCAGCAGGAGGCTGGATCGGTGGAACTGGTGGATGGGGAAGGTGGCACAGGGAGCTCTTGCCGCCGAAACCGCGGGGCTCTGAGGGCAGGAAAACCTCAGGGACACACGGAGCGCAGCCAAGGGCACTTTGTCCCAGCCCGGCAGCCTCTCCCCTGCCCTGGAAAAAGCTCCTCCATCAACAGGAGGAAAGCTGGGAATTAACCTGTCTGTGCCGGTGAATTAGAGGAAAGTCCTTGCTGGGGCTTGGAGGGCGGATTATCCCGGCTCTGCTCACTGCAGCATTCCTGGGCTCAGCTCTGGCCCCGATCCGGGGCTGCCGCGGCTCCGGGTCTTTCCCAGGAGACGGGCAGGAGCAGCATGGCTTTGGAGCAATCCCAAACCTCCCTTCAAGGAGAACAGGCAGGTCCAGGCAGTGCTGGGTTTCATTCCCCAAGAGCCTTAGAAGGGATTTCATGGGATTTTAACCCCCAGAGAAATTTATGTAACAGCAAAAACCAAGGGAAAGGCTTCGCTGAGGGGGAGCTGCTGCCCAGAGGCCATGGAGATGGGCTCCAAACCCCAGCCCGTGGGTCACTGCGGGCTCCAGAGATGCAGAACTGACCTTGCTGGGTTCAAACACAAATTAGGGATTGCTCCAGAGCCAGAGGAGGGAGAAATCAGAAGTTTTTAGTTTAGCAGCAGCTTCTCCTTTCCAGAACAGCGATCCAGAGCACAGAACCATCACTTTTTGGTGCTTCCACTCTTGTCCTGCCCCAAAAGTCCCTCATATCTGAGCCTGACCAAATCCCCGGGATTGTTTTGCTTGGAAGACACCTGACTGGCACTGCATCCAAACACAACCTGCTCCTGGCAGCACGTGCCTGTTCATGGACAGTTTTCCCCCTCGGAGCAGAAAAACCAGCCCTGCAGCAGGTGAAGGGCCAGGGAATCACACCCGGAGGCCAAAGGCAGAGGGAGTGCCAGGAGGGACATGGGAAATCAGGAAACCCCGAGTCCCTCCTGGGAGGTTTGATATGAAACCCCAACTCAGAGCACGTGGACGGGCCAGTTGTACGTTGGCAGACAGGGCACAGGGCCGAGGGTCAGAGCAGAGGGGGCACTTTGTGCCAGGGGACGCTCCCCGGGGAGAATCCGGCTGGTTCCTCATTAATGAGCAACAGAATCCGGTTAACGGCCGGATCCCCACGCTCCCGGTGGGACACAGGGACGAGCTCCCGCCCCCAGTGCCTGGGCTGACCCACCAGGATTTGGGGGCTCACCCAGAATGGGGACCCCCCCTCTGCCAGGGGGCCGCGAGGGTCCGTCTGACGCCTCTGACACCCGGACCCCGCGGGTTTCAGGGTGCGGGATTTCGGGATTCCACGTCCGCAGAAGGCGAGGACGGAGCGGTGACAGCGGTGTCACCCCCCGGAGCCCCCCGGCCCCCTCTCGGCACGGCCCCGCTCTGCACCCCTCAACCGGGGGGGACCCTGCCCGCCCTCCCCGTGTCCCCGCCGAGCCCAGAGCCACGGTGAGGGGCTGCCAGGGTGCCCCAGGAAAGAGGAGGGGGGGGGGGGGCAGGACAGGAGAACCGGGGGGGCGGCGGGGTACCGGTCGCACCTGAGGCCAGGTAGAGCCGTTGGACGCCGGTACGGGCTTCCAGCCGGCCCAGCAGGTCGCCGAGCGGCCCGGGGCGGTCGAGGAAGCGCTGCAGGCGCTGCTGCACCGAGCCCATGGCGGCGGCAGGCGGAGGAGGAGGAAGGGGACGAAGCGGCGGCCCCGGAGCGGCCCCGCACCGACCCCGCGCCCCGGGCAGTGCGGCCGCGGGGGGGCGTGGCCAGCCGGGGGCGCGGCCAACGGGGAGGCGGGGCGGGGCGGGGCCAATGAGAAGGCGGGGACGGCCCAAAGCGGCCAATGAGGCGAGGCCGGGCGGGCGGGGGCGGGGCCGACGCCGTTGGCATGGCAACTGGCGCTCGGCCGCCGCGGCCTCATGGCGGCGAGGCCCAGGCCCGTCCCGGCGCCCTCGGCGCTCCCGGGGCTGCTCGCGGTGCTGTTCGCGGTGCCGGTGGTCGTCGCCGTCGCCGCCGCCGCCCCCGCCAAGCCCCGCGTCTACCTGAGCAGCTGGGCCGTGCGGGTGGCGGCGGGGCCGCGGGACGCCCAGGCCCTGGCCCGCCGTCATGGGCTGCTCTACCTGGGCCAGGTGCGGCCTGGACAGGGGCGGCGGGCCCAGCCCACCCCATGTCCCGCTGTCCCGACTGCCCGTGCTCATCCCCACCCTGTGCCCCCACTGTTTGTCCCTTTCACTTGTCCCCTCTGCTCGTCCCGTGGGCAGGGACACCTTCCACCAGATCAGGTTGCTCCAATCCCCGTCCAGCCTGGCCTTGGACATTTTCTGGAATGGGCAGCCTGGGAATCTGTCCCGGTGTCCCCTCTGAGCATGCAGGGGGTGAGCAAGGGACGCCCAGGGTACACCCTCCCCCCAGACCCCCGCTCTGTCTCCCGGTGACACTTTCTGCTGGTCCTGCCGTGCTCAGCTCACATTAAATTCACCTTCCTGACCTCCCCACCCGTGTGGAGCCGGTGCGGGTGTCCCCAGCCGGGCTGGAAACGCTGACAGCAGCTCCCTGTGCCCGCAGGTGATGGAGGGAGAGCCCTACTACCATCTGGGACACCGTGGCACCCGGCAGAGAGCCCTGAGCAGGCACTGGGGGTGGCACGTGCGGCTGATGAGGGACCCCGAGGTAGGGAGGGGGGCACGGGGAGCCCGGGCACGGCCCTGGGCAGGCTCTGCCCGGCACCCACAGCGCTGCCCCCCGCCCAGGTGCTGTGGTTTGAGCAGCAGACGCTGAAGAGGCGCACAAAGAGAGGTGCCAGCGTGGTGCCTACGGACCCCTGGTTCCCCAAGCAGTGGTACATGGTGAGATGGTGCTGCTTCCCCTTCTAACCTCACCTAGAGCACAGAATGCCCTTCCCACTGCCCGCCCCAGCACACAAACAGGGCTAATGCTGGTGGTGGTGAGGCAGCACAAGCCCCTGGAGGTCACTCCCAGGCTGCTGAGCAAATTTAATCTGTTTTCCAGAACAACGACATCAGTCCCGACCTGAACATCCTCACGGCTTGGAGCAGGGGCTACACGGGGCGGGGGGTCGTGCTGACCATCCTGGATGATGGGCTGGAGAAGGATCACCCCGACCTGGCAGCCAACTATGTAACTACGAGGGGGTGCAGGAACAGGCTCCTCCAGGGTGGGGGCTCCCCAGGGAGGGGGGGAGCCGGTGCCTTCATCCCACCCCTGGGACTGTGCAGTGGGAACTCGGCCTCTCCAGGGCCAGATCACAGGTTTGGAGTCTCCCACAGTGAATTCTCACGTCGAGGAAATGTTAGAACTTGTACACACACTGGAGCCCCCAAAATTGGTGTAATTACAGCAAGCTGCAAAGCTGGTAAACCCTCACGTGCTCAGCAAGGAAGGAGAGATAAATCCTGGGTGTTTGCAACAACACAATTCCTGTGGGTTGTAGTTCCTCTCTCCTGTGAGGGTCACCCTCGGGTGAGTCACCACGCTGGGCTCTGTCACTGAACCAGCCACGCTGTGCTGCTTTCACCCCGCTCCACAGGATCATGGCAGTTGGCAAACACCTCCAGGATCACAGAGCCCCCCCTGTGCCCAATGCCCACCTTGTCCCCCAGCCCAGAGCACTGAGGGCCACCTCCAGTCCTTCCTTGGGCACCTCCAGGGGTGGGGACTCTAAACCTCCCTGGGCAGCCCCTGCCAGTGCCTGACCACCCTTTCCATGGAGAAATTCCTCCTGGTGTCCAACCTGACCCTCCCCTGGCACAGCTTGAGGCCGTTCCCTCTCCTCCTGTCCATTGTTCCCTGGGAGCAGAGCCCGCCCCCCCCCGGCTCCCCCCTCCTGTCAGGGAGTTCCAGAGCCAGAAGGTCCCCCCTGAGCCTCCTTTTCTCCAGGCTGAGCCCCCCCAGCTCCCTCAGCTGCTCCTGCTGCTCCAGACCCTTCCCCAGCTCCGTTCCCTTCTCTGAACTCAGTTTAGCTCAGACTGACCCAGCACAGTTGGGCCCGAAGGGGCCCCCCCGTCCCCCCAGGCTGGCAGTGAGGGCCCCCGGCGGTGCCAGCCCTGGGCTGGGTGCCAGGCGCCTGTGCTGGGCTGTCACAGCCCTGCCAGGGCCCTTCACTCACGCTGGTGCCTTGTTCTGTAACAGGACCCGCAGGCGAGTTACGACTTCAACAGCAACGACCCCGATCCCCAGCCCAGATACGGTGATGGGGACAATAACTGGTGGGTTCTGCTCCATCCCTTGGGGGGCCGAGGCTGCCCCAGGCCCCTCACCCATCTCACTCTGCCCCCCCAGGCACGGGACACGCTGTGCAGGAGAAGTGGCAGCTGTGGCCAACAACGGGATCTGCGGGGCAGGCGTCGCCTACAACGCCAAAATTGGAGGTGAGACACCTCTCCGGTGGGATGGAGGTTGGAAAGCAGCTCCAGCACCCTGGGAGGATGTGTGACCCCAGGTGGGGCCACAATGGGGGCTTGCAGGGGGGTAGAGGGTGCTGCAGTGTTACCACACATCAGTCTCTGAGCTCCCCGGGGGTTTAATGCCCACCCCAACACAGCAGCACCATCCCTGGGCAGGCTCAGGCGCCCCTGCAGGAGCGAGGGTGGCAAAGGGGGTTAAAAGCCGGGATAACTCCCCGGGCTTAATTACAAAAGGCTTAACAAGGAGCTTTGGGAACTGGCTCGTGGCAGCGGCACAGCCCCGCAGGAGCCTGATCTGCTTAGGGCAGGGTCATGTGGACGGTGCTCGAGGCAGTGGGGGCAAAGGGGGGGCTGTCGAGGTGCCCCTCGTCCCTCCCCTTGGCGTGGCACTTGCGTGGCTCCCGTTTTCCCCTGGAGCCCTCCTGGCTTCCCCCGGTGCTGCCGCCTCTCGGCCACGGCCATTCCCGGTGCCCACGGCCGCTCCCGGTGCCCATGGCCATTTCCCAGTGCCCACGGCCATTCCCGGTGCCCACGGCCATTTCCCAGTGCCCACGGCCATTCCCGGTGCCCACGGCCACTCCCGGTGCCCACGGCCATTCCCGGTGCCCACGGCCACTCCCAGTGCCCATGGCCATTCCCGGTGCCCATGGCTGCTCCCGGTGCCCAAGGCCATTCCCAGTGCCCACGGCTGCTCCCAGTGCCCAAGGCCATTCCCAGTGCCCATGGCCATTCCCGGTGCCCAAGGCCATTCCCAGTGCCCATGGCTGCTCCCAGTGCCCACGGCCACTCCCAGTGCCCATGGCTGCTCCCGGTGCCCACGGCCATTCCCGGTGCTGGCCCTCAGGCGTGCGGATGCTGGACGGTCCCATCATCGACGTGGTGGAGGCCCAGGCCCTCAGTCTGCACTCGCAGCACATCCACATCTACAGTGCCAGCTGGGGCCCCGAGGACGACGGCAGGACGGTGGACGGGCCGGGCGAGCTGGCGGCGGCCGCTTTCCACAGGGGGGTCAGCCAGGTGAGCCCAGCGCCGGCCTCGGGGGCCTCGGGGGCACCGGGACCCCCTGCCCACCCCCCTCTGCCTCCCCAACAGGGCCGGGGGGGGCTCGGCTCCATCTTCATCTGGGCCTCGGGCAACGGGGGGATCCACTACGACGACTGCAACTGCGACGGGTACGGCAACAGCATCTACACGGTGTCGGTGGGCAGCGTCCTGGGCGACGGGCAGCGGCCCCGCTACAGCGAGGGCTGTGCTGCCATCCTCACCACCACCTACAGCAGCAGGGCCAGCAGCGACGTGCAGATTGTGAGTGTGGTGACAGCCCCGAGGTGACCCCGAGGCACATGGGGCATCCCAGCACATCCCACGGGGCACACGGCGCATCCCAGCACATCCTACAGGGCACACGGGGCATCCCAGCACATCCCACGGGGCACACAGTGCATCCCAGCACATCCCACGGGGCACACGGCGCATCCCAGCACATCCCACGGGGCACACGGGGCATCCCAGCACATCCTATGGGGCACATGGCACATCCCAGCACATCCCACGGGGCACATGGCACATCCCAGCGCATCCCAGCACATCCTACAGGGTGGGCTCGTCCCAGCCCTTCTCACCCGGGGAGGGCCAGGGCAGCTTTAGTAAAGAGTCTGTGTGGACCTCCCCCCAAAAGCCCAAAGGGTCACAAAAGGAGCGTTTGCTGGAGGTGCCCAGCTCTGGGAAGCCCTCCCTGGCAGTGGTGCTGAGACCCCCCTCTCCCCCAGGTGACCACCGACCTGCACCACCGCTGCACCGACAAGCACACGGGCACCTCGGCCTCGGCCCCGCTGGCCGCAGGGATGGTCGCCCTGGCACTGGAGGCCAAGTAGGTGACACTGAGAGAGCAGGACAGCCCCCAGGGAGAGGGGAAGCCCTGAGGAAGGGGGGAGGCTGCTGGCAGGGAGGTTGGGAGTGCAGAGTTGAGGTGTCCCCGGGTTCTGGTGGGGCAGCATCTTCTCCCAAAACCATGGGAGGGCAGGGGACAGGAGGAGAATTTTGCTCTGGAGGTCTTTTTGCTCCCACTTGGGCACTGAAGGAGGTTGTGGGGGGACCTGGTTGGACCCAGACAGCTGACTTACCCACCTCATGAGTTAGAAGGGCTGAATCCCACCCTTAAAAGCCAACCCAGACACCTCTATCCCCACATCCTCCTTGCTTCCAGCCCAGCCCTGAGCTGGCGTGACCTGCAGCACCTCATCATCAGGGCCTCCAAACCCGCTCACCTGAAGGCCGAGGACTGGGCCAAGAACGGGGTGGGACGCAGGGGTGAGTGCAGGGCTCAGCCCTTCCTGCTCCCCTCACCCGGCC